AACTGCTTCTGATGCCATGAATCCCGAGTAAGATGCCCCGGCCGGCGGTCCCCGGCAGCACGACGAAAAGGCGCAGCACAACCGGCAGGACGACGAACTAGGCTAGATTGAAAAAAATTTCAACTCGATAAATAGTAACACTTTCGTCTTATTTGATAAATATTGTCCAATCGTGGATCAACTAAACTCAAAAGATTCATCTCGTGATTTCCAACTAAACTGTGCAATTAGTTATTTTTTTACATACATTTAATGCTCCATGTAAACGGCTAAAAATTGATGTAATGGAGAAAGAGTGAAAAAACTTGGAATTTTGAGGGCATCTAAACAAGGCCCTAGCGTGTGTTTGTATTCATGGCGAACTGCTTCTGCTGCCATGAATCCCAAGTGAAACGGCCCCTTTCCCCGGCGGCGCGGTGAGAAGTGAAAAGGGACACCGAAACCGGCAGGGCGACGAGCAGAAACTACCGTAACGCGGATCACACACACAGGGCCTCCTTCCAGCTCCGGGGACCGGGGGACGACGACACGTGCGGGATACCGGATACGATCATACCACGACGGTGTGCTCCTGTATAGGCAGAGGCAGCCTGTAGATCTGCACGCCGATACCAGTACGGCAGTACGTACTCCTACTCCTGTCCTCTACGTCACGTGCGGACGTGCCAGGCTGCTTGCGGGCCCCGTCGTACAGTGCCCCAGATTCTGCTCTCTGAGTGCTCACCGGATCTTACTGCTAGTAGTACCACGACGACCTCAATGCCTCCATGCTGCAAGCGCAGACCGGCGGCTTGTTTAGATGCCATCTAAATTCCAATTATTTTCACCCTCTCTTCATCACATCAATTTTTAGCCGTTTGCATAGAGTATTAAATGTAGGTAAAAAAATAACTAATTATACAGTTTAGTTGGAAATCACGAGATAAATCTTTTGAGCCTAGTTGGTCCATAATTGGACAATATTTGCCAAATAAGACGAAAGTGGTACTATTCATCGGGTTCACTTTTTTTTTTTAAGTGAACGAGGCCCGGGACCTTATTCCTCGTCGGGATGACATCACCGGACGTCCGCCTCGGCAACCGCGTCGTGCCACTTGAGTTTACGGGCCAAATACTTGCCCGTATATTTTTTGTGCGACGCCGTACTGTGTCGCTTCAAAAGTTTCCCGCTCCGCCGCGCACGCGCCTTCGTCAGCGTCGGGGGGCAGTCGTCGGTTGGCGCTTGCGTGCGCCGCGGCGAGGGAGGGACCAAAGACCAACGGTTGGTAATTGGTATTGGTAATTTGATACTGCTCGTATATCTGTTTTTTGAATTTCTCTGTGCAGTGTGTAAGCAAAGCAGCATGGAACTACGGAGTACACTATACTACCGTTAGACGGCAAGCATCATGTGCTGCACATTTACGCGATCATTAATCCTGCTGTTTTAGCGTCCCTGCGTGGAGGTGGAGGTGCCACCACACGGAGAAGGAGAGGGAGATCCATCGTTTTCGCATCCGGTGATGGACAGCCAGCAGCCATTATAGCGCATCACGCGTAGGCTTTCCCAACAATGCTCATGTACTACGAGGCATTTATGGGAATGCAGCAGTAACACGAGGGTTCTCGTACCTCTGTGCTGCAGTTGCGTAACCACCTCTAGGGCTCTAGCTCTCGCAGCGTGGTCCATCTTCGCCTACAGAACAGTCTCCGCTGCCGCCTTCCGCATCCGTCGACGGCGATATACGAAGGGCCTCGTGAGTCGTACTGTTTCAACGAAAAATAGTGTTTTTCTCTCCGACGAATCAGTGAACCGTACTATTAACTATGGCTTTTCAGCGGGGCCAAAATTCGCACACGCGCACATTTATTTGACCGGATCAGCGAGTACTACCAGCCTTCGCTGCACGCCGTGCTACTAGTAGTACACGCTGAGGCCTGGTGCTGGGTAGTGTGGAAAGGGGTTAGAAACCACCCCACCCAGCAGGCCAGCACCCCCCGACCAGAAGAAGGTCGATCGGCGTCGTGGCATCCCAGAAAGAAAAACCAATTGCCGGATCAGATCTTGGCGCGGGCTCTTGGCCGGACGCGGCCGGGCCAGCCGCAAAAGCCGCGCCCGCGGCGATTGCTGCCTCGTCGACTCGACGCTTTTGAGGTGCGAATGATTGCGGGTTCGTCCTACCGCCCGAGGGCCGCCTCGTGTCGCTCGTGCCGCGCGTGTTTTGAGCCCTGTTCCGGTCCCGGGCGCGAGAGTCGGGAGCCGGCGGCTGGCCTCTCGCGCCTTGTTGCCTTGCGCTCGGGGCTCGTAGGCAACTAGGCAGAATCTTCCCCTCCCCTCCCCCCGGCTTGCGTCGTGAGAACACGCGTTTCGCCGCCGCCGTCTCCGCTTTGCCCGTCGTCTGGCTGTTGGTTGCTACAGTGGGTTTCCTCTGCTCGTCTCGGTCGCTCGGTGGTGGTTGGCTGAAAAGTTCTCGTGAAAAAGGCTTCCTCTTCGGGGGCATCACGTTGTAGGCCTCACCGCCCTTTTCCTTCCCATCCCACTTGGCCATTTCCCTTCCCTTCCCCTCCTAGCCTCCTCAGTCCTCACCTGTTGCAAGCTTGCACTGGCCACTGGCTGCGCCCCCTCTATGCACTGTGGTTCCCTGTGCTGCCACTACTCTACCCAACTCGTTCTTCTCCCTTGGCGCTACTACGCTTCTGCATTTAACTCTGCCGGCCTCTGGGAGACCTTTCCTTCGCTTTTGGCCTCTTTGTTCGCTCCCCGTGTTTCTTGGCTGCAGCAGGCCTCTGTAAAGGCTCCTGCCCTTTTTCTCCCGGTGAAGTGAAGCTTCTTTTCTTGCCTTGTTCAAGTTTCTCATCGGCGTGTTGTTTCCTGCCCTGCTACTTCGGATTGCAAAACGTTTGTTTCAAAATCCCTGTGTCTATGTTTTGAGTTGCCACCAACAAGTAAATTTCTAATATTGCACGTCTGGCTCGGATGGTGTGCTTAGAGGACACGATGTTTATACTGGTTCGGACAGAATATCCCTACGTCCAGTTCGTTGCTGCTGCTCGTGTTACTGGCGCTGAAAGTTCGTAGTAGGGGTTACAAACGGTCGAGAGAAGGACAGGTCCCAAGTCTCTTGTGGTGTGTTGCGATGAGTTCTGATCGAGTCGAGTCGCCTCGCGTCCTATTTATGGGACGTCCTGCTTTCTCTTTTATATGCTAAGGGAGAGCACGTGTTACAATGGAGGAAGAGAAGAAAATAAGAGGAAGAAGTCCTTTAGGATCACTGGGTCTTTCTTCTTCTTTTAAGTGGGTCCCGCCGACTCTGTAGACGTCAACATAGACAGCTTTTCGTCGCGGCTTTGTCCGTCACTGGCGCCATGTGCAGGCGTCGTCTGTCGGTCATGGCGCTCCACTCCGTCCTGACGGACGTCGTGGTGAACTGACGCGTCCGTCGGTGTTCGTACGGAGGTTAGGCAGAACAGCACTGGTACTGACGCAGTTGTAAATATATGATGAAATCAAACATTGCTTCTACCAAATTTGTCGAGCGATAGAAACGGTGGCCACACAATTCTTTGCTTCCTTTGTATGACCAAATAAAGATATGATTGATATCTAAGTGGGCTTGATTATATGCGTTGCTAAATTATTTAAATAATTGATCTGATTCTCTTGATTATCATAGGTAAAACTGGATTGTTTCCTTTGTCTAAAAAACCGCACGCGTGTATAGGCCAACAGTCCGACACTAGTAGCGATCGGGTAAACCTCTTGAATGCGGCTCCAAGCACCGTGCGCATTGTGCAGGGCAACACGCCCCACACCACTGGTTCGTTCGTTCATGCGACGCGCATGGCCGCCCTTTACTCCGCTCCCCCGCAGCCTCGCTGCAACACTGCACGTCTGCAGTTCTGCACTGCGTTTTCTTGACGGAAATGGATTGCCTGCCCGGTGCAGGGGGGCTCCCGGCGCTGCACTTGGCAGGGCCCCCTCTCGGGTTTTGACTGAACTATTGAACGCGGCGCGGCGCACTCCTCTTCCGGCGGCAAATGGCCCAACCGTCGCGGCAGGTCTAGGTTTCAACCGAGCTGAAAATGCCTCGCAGTCGCAGGGCGTTCATGCAACGGGACCGGGGCCGGGGCCAGGGGCAGGAGAGCGAGCAGCAGCGGTGAGCGGAAGTGCAGAACCGATGGAATCGAAATCGAAGCGGGACCAGGCAGGAGCAGCAGGACTGGACCGTGTTGCGCCGTTTGGCCTGCCTCGGCGTTTATGGCCGGCCCGCAGGGCACGGAAGGGCAGAGATCTCGTAGCCTTTGATTTCCAGTCCTCAAATCCACATTACTCTACCGTGATGCTGCTCTTGGCTCTCGGCTATAGCCATAGCCCATAGGATGGATCAATTCGCAGCCCGTATAATGCACGGCTTTCCGCTTCCCAGCTGGGGTACCATGCAGTGCATTCGCAAGCCGCGCGACGCTTAAAGCACCGTTGGCTGCTAAAGAAAAATACTGTTCATTGGTACCCTGTGCTGCTACTGCTCTACCCAACTCGTTCTTCTCCCTTGGCGCTACTACGCTTCTGCATTTAACTCTGCCGGCCTCTGCGAGACCTTTCCTTCGCTTTTGGCCTCTTTGTTCGCTCCCCGTGTTTCTTGGCTGCAGCAGGCCTCTGTAAAGGCTCGTGCCCTTTTTCTCCCGGTGAAGTGAAGCTTCTTTTCTTGCCTTGTTCAAGTTTCTCATCGGCGTGTTGTTTCCTGCCCTGCTACTTCAGATTGCAAAACGTTTGTTTCAAAATCCTTGTGTTCAAAGATGCAACCTTTTGTTTCGACCAAGGGTTGTAAACTCCCAGCTAGCTTTTGGTCCTCTGCATCCGCACAGTGTAGTAGCTTTCAAGAAATCCCGAGCTGATCTCCCTCGAGTTCCCACGCTGTAGGACTAGTTCTGTTTTTGTAGTCTCGTTGCTTCCCAACCAGTTCTTTCCAACGCTTGCTTCTCTTTTTCACGCATCCGTTCCTGCAGCAGCTACGAGGACCATGGGCCGCGCGATGAGATGGCTCAAGAAGGTGCTCACCGGCAGCAAGAAGGAAGCGGACAAGGATCGCAAGGCACACAATGCCGCCGTGTGCGCCGGCGGCGGTCTCGGGCTGGGCCTGCCGCCGCCGGCGGAGAAGAGGCGGTGGAGCTTCGCGAAACCGAGGAACAGCGTGGCTGACGCCGGCCGGAGGCCCTCCTCCGTGACCGCCGTCGCCGCCGGGGAGCTTCTGTCGCAGGTGCGGCCGTGCAACTGCGGCCAGGAGCGCGAGGTCGAGGCCGCCGTCGTCATCCAGAAGGCCTTCAGAGGCTACTTGGTAAGTTGGTAGTATTGCCCTAGACGAAATCCATTCTTAATGCGTTCATGATTCTTTCTTTGCGTTCATGATTCATTGCAGTCTTTTTTGTTTGTTTCATTCACAAAAGGAAATCAAAATGGTTCTGCTGCGTATGTAGCACTGTTCAACTGAAGATTTTAGGTGGTTTTGGGCTTTTGGCCATTCGTTTGCTTTCTGTCAGTCCAGTTCTTCAGTTCCAAGAAATCAACGGATGAACAAGTGGGCATGCATGAATTTCGCAGATTCTTTTGCATTTGCATTGGACAAGAGATTTGACTTCAATAAACGCTGCAAATCCATGGCCGCTTGCTGCTGCTGTTACTTTCCGTTGAGTCGTTAGCGACTGCTCATTTGTTTAATCCCCTTCAGATTAGATTATTTCCAAACTCTCCCGATATTTTTGTTTATTGCTAGGGTGCTTCGTGAACCGCGCGGCGTGACGCACCGAGTCGTCACCCCAGCTGTTTAATGCGCGATTCTTTTTCGGTTTCCCATGCGACCTGCAGCGTTCCGATGTGACTGAAAATTTGAAGTTTTTTGCAACGCCCGCAGGCTCGGAAGGCGCTCCGTGCTCTCAGGTCGCTCGTGAAGCTGCAAGCTCTGGTGCGTGGCTACCTCGTGAGGAAGCAGACCGCCATGACGCTGCGCAGGCTGCAGGCGCTCATGAGGCTCCAGGCCAAGACGGCGTCGTCTCGGAAATCCGTTGAACAAGTGAGGACTTTGATAAGCACTAACACCATTCACATTTGAAAATATGATGAAGTCAAATTTTAAAATTTCTTCATCTCTTGTTTGTTCACAAAGGAGCGGATCGTTGCGCGCGTGAAGCCACTGGCCGTGCCCGCGGTGCACCGCCGGCGGCTGTCCGACGGCGGGGACACCGGCTTGGATCGCAGCCCGAGGATCGTGGAGACGGACACGTGCCAGCTGCGGTGCCGGTCGTCCCGGATCACGAGCCGGTACGCCGGCGACCAGCATCCAGGCGCCTCGCCGCTCCTCCACTTCCACAAGCCGGCGTGGCGCCGCCTCCAGGAGCGAGAGCTGGAGCCTCCGCACCCCAAGACAACGCACAACACGCCCCGCGTCGGCGCGTTCCCGGGGTACCTCGGTTCTCCGGCGAAACCGGGGCGAAACCGGGACGCCGGGAGCAGCCCGCGGTACATGGCGGACACGGCCTCGTCCGTGGCGCGCACCCGGTGCCAGAGCGCGCCCAGGCAGCGGCAGCAGCAGGGCGAGCACGCGGGGCAACAACAAGAGCCGGCGGCCGAGGTAAGGCCCAGCGTAGGCCGCAGTGGGTCGAGGAAGCTGGCGCGGCCGCAGCTGCAGGCGCTGGACAGCTTCAGCTTCAAGAGCTCGGAGGCCAGCCGCGTGGAGGGCTCGGAGCTGAGCGACGAGGTCACCAGAGACTACTACCTGGACTGGCTCTGGTGATTCTGCCTTTACACCAAGTCACCCGACTGGTCTAGGAGGAGAAGGAAGGTTAACAGTTCGGTACATAGTATTAGTATTATCATTAGGATCAAACAAGGTGTAGATCATGGTGAAATATCATGATATGCTAGCTCGACGACTACTAATCTCTACTGCCATGGAGCTCGAGTATCAGAGTATGTATGGTATCATAGGGAAGGCTGGATTTGTTACGAGAGAAAAAACACTGTACTATGACTGATAAGATATGTTAATAAGTTCAACCAAACAAGCTAAAATAAAAATTGTGTTCTACTCCTACACTTCTAATACTAATACTTGTGACTATTTGAAAAATGGAAAGGAAAACAACGACGAAAGTGCCTCACCTACACCTGTGCAGCTGGGAGCTTGTGATTGCTTGCTAGCTCAGTTCTGACACCGTATAGGTGCAGCATCAATGCTGCTGATACGTAGAATCTGATATCGACGTCACTTGTGGCTAGTACGGAGTACTACGTGGAATCTGATCGTACTAGTATAAATGGCATGGAGATTGGTACGAGTTCTTGGCAATGGCAGATCCTTTGTTTGACGTAAAGACAAACAAACGTTGTGGTTGTCTCGTACGTACAGTCGTCCTTCTCGCAACTTCATTGCGCTATTCCTTCGCCAAAATTTTATGTCCTGTAACGTCGAAAGTTTGACATATGTATAGAGTATTAAATATAAATTAAAAAATAATTAATTATATAGTTACGAGACGAATCTTTTAATCCTAATTAGTCCATAATTTGACGATAAAGTAATACAATAACACATGTACTAATGACGGATTCTGTAATTTATTTTTTTATTAGTATCCAAACATCCATGTGATACTACATGTAACATCCGATGTGACATACCAAAACCTTACACACCGGATATAAACACCATCTAAATGTTTGCCGTGCCTTGCCGTGCTTGCTCTGACGATGTGAAGTGTCAGGCAAGGATCGTGAAAAAGGATCGCTACCACTACTGGACTGGTACCGGGCGTCTGTTGAGCGTTGACATGAATAGCTTGCGTTGTTTTGGCTGCAAGAGTTCGCAAGAAATTCATTGCCTCTGCACGTTTGGATTTGGCCAGTTCAGTACCCGAATAGTGCTACCATAGTGTTCTGTACCTGTCAACCTGTGCCAACGCTGGAGATCAGAGAAGAGCGCTCCAGTTTGGTGCAAGCAAAGCTGCGCGATTAGTCGATTACAGCATCCAGACACCCGAAACAACAGTGTCTTACTGCGCTATCCAGTTTGTTTGATGTTGTCAGAGGAAAAACACCGTCCATAGTTGAAAATCACCCCGTTCGGCTGGTCATGTTCCAGCTTGTTTTAGCTTATTCTCCCTCACAGAATACTATCTATTCGTCTAAAACCATCCAAAAATTACTGTAGCGCGGACCAGCCGAACACGCTGGAACAGTGCTGAAATGTTGTGCTTCTGCTACCTCGCAATTCGCCAAGCTGTCGCCCCCTACCTTTGAGGCCATTGAAATGACGCGTGGATTCGAAGCCGGGCGCTCCGGGCACGGGCACGGGCACATGCATGACGCGGACGATACCACATGACCTGCAGCTGTCGATTTTGTTTGAGCCGACGGCGTGACTCGGAGGCGTCGGAGTTGAGTTTTGTTTGCGTCTGCATGCTGCTCGTCCTCGATCTGGATCGATCCTGCAGCGCCCTCGACAGCCTGGCGTGGCCCGATCTGCCTGCGCCTGTGCAGGCGTACGTGCCGGGGGGAAGCTTTGCCGTGCTGTAAAGCGTGTGCGTGTACGCAAGCTATTAACGACTGTCAGTGATCGGCTCGGGGTCAAATACAGTTGTGACCTGTTACTAGGGCTCTGTTCCACAGCACTCCGTCCGTTAAAAAAATTGCAAATCTCGTTTTTTAAAGTCAAACAATTTAACTTTTTATTAAAGTCATAAAAAATACTAGCATTCATGATAAAAAAAATATCGTTAGATTAAATATGAAGTATATATTTGTTTTCATATTTGTTGTACACTTTATCTATCCCTAATACTAAAGAGGCAAATTTTTTTGCATTAAAAAATTTTCATCCAACTTAACCTAAAGTGGCTTGGTCACGGCATCAGCTCTGGAAAAAAAAAATAGAAAAAAAATCCCGCGTCCGTTTTCCCCGTGAGATGGAAACGTATCATCGGACGCCCAGCTTATTCGCCCCGCCCCCACCTCCCCAACTTAATCGCGAGTCCGCGTCGACCCCAGGGTGCGCGCACCGTGGACGCCCTGCGGCTCAACGTCTGCGTGCGCGTGCGGTACCACGCGGCGTGGCCGGCCGGCTCCGGCTCCGTCCTGCTATACAACCTGATGGAGGACGCGGCTACGGCGGGGATCAGCCGCGTCCGACACTGGCAGTGGTTGCGCCACGGCACGACGCTGGACGCCAGCAGCGTGGAGGTGCGCACGACGCCAGAGCTATCGCCCGCGTCGTCGAGGAGGAGATGGCGAGGGTTGAGGCAGAGGTCGGTCACGAGAGGTTCCGAAACCGTGCAAGCTCTGAATACATGCGCACATGCTTTTGTCGGCACAGTAGAGTCACCTTTCAGAAACAAGTTCCGAAACCGTCCTTATTTCGATGGCTGCATTAGACAGCGAGGTAAAAGCGTGACCTACAAACATGATAGACATGAACATGATAGACATGAGCATGATAGACGTGATTGTAAAGCACACTGTGTATTATCTGTTCTAGGTGCTTTTAGTATGGTGGTCTATGTAATAAACTAAGGTTCAGTTGAACCGAGACTATCATCCTTGACTCACTGCAACAAGTAGATCAACTCTGAGTACTATTATCAAAATGCAGTTGAAGCAGTAGTTGAATATGAAAAAGATGTGCAAAGTACCGAAATGCAGAAGAGCTAAATCAACCTATACAAATTAGCACAAACTATTATTATTTCCTCGTGCAACCCATGGACGTTAGGGGTAGGGGCGCAGACATCAGGGGCACTATAGCATGGACACGGGCTCACCATGGGGCGCGAACGCCACATCGTGGCCGCGGGGGACAGGGCCGCTGTCGTGGGGCACGCCGCGGACGTCTAGGCTCGGGGCGAGTGATACCGCCGCGGTGCAGGCGCCAGGGCATGGGCGAGCATTGTCGTCGAGGTTCGGCTGCCGAGTCGCGCTGCCGTAGTGTTCGGGGCAGGGCCGCGGCCATCCGAGCACTCGTGCAGATCGACCGTCGGAGATCGGGAGGGCAGATAGAGGAGAGGAGGGGAAAAAGTCCATTAGGTCATTTTATTTTATTTTTTCACCTCAGCGAGTTGTTTTGCCAAATAGGTTAATCGCCTTGACCTAGGGCATGAATTTTTCATTACAGGCAAAGCAAAACATGTGGCGTTGGCTATTTGAACATGTTATTGATGGATCTTTGCGAGTTACAAACGTAGCCTGTGCGTTGCATCGGTATGACAATTTTTGGGACTAAACCTCAGTACTCGAACGCAGATGCGTGAGCTCGGATGACTTTGTACTAGACGCGGACACGTGGATCTAATTCGTATTGAACCGGGTAGGATGTGGACGTGTGAGCTCTGAGTGAAGGATGATCCATATCGGACGTGGATACGTGAGCAGGATCGAGATTTGATATCACTAGGTAGATAATGATTTTACGATCTTTTTAAGTGTAGAGAGGAGAAGAGATAGAGATAAGAAAGATTATCATATTGTTATCAACAATAACTTATACTATATATGCCATGGTCATAACAAAATAAATTATAACTTTTAAATTTTATTATAAATGGTGAGACATAATAATATGTACTGAAAGGATCAAGAAGCTCAAGAGAGGGGGGTGAATTGGGCTAATTCTAAAATTCTTTGCAATAATTAAACCCTACACTTAGCCCACTTCACCCCTTGTGCCTAGAATGTGATGCTATTGATCTACCGCACAAAAGTTTAGCACCCTAAGTTCCAATTCTACTCTAGCATGGCAGTTCTAAGAATGTAAAGACAAGAATTGAATTGCTCGAATATAAATGCTTAAAGTAAAGAGAGAAGAAGGAACGCGGCGATGTTTTGCCGATGTATCGGAGAGTCGCCACTCCCCACTCATCCTCGTTGGAGCACCCGCGCAAAGGTGTAGCTCCCCCTTGATCCGCGCAAGGATCAAGTGCTCCCTATGGGTTGATTCTTCGACACCCCGTCGCGGTGAATCACCCACAACCGCTCAGAACTTGAGTTGGATCATCCACAAGCTTCGTCGGATGATCACCAAACTCCTGATCACCACCAAGCCGTCTAGGTGATGACGATCATCAAGAGTAACAATTACGACCTCTCACTTGACCACGATAAGCCTAATGAGAAGGGTAGATGCACACTTGCTACTCTCCTTGCACTAATGAGGCCTTAATATTGGATTCTCAAATCACAATCACCTCACTAGGCTCTTGCTCTACTAAGCATTCTCAAGGATGTTTTTCAGCTGTTGAAATGGGCAAGAGACCTCCATTGGATGAATAGAGGAAAGTATTTATACCCCCTCATTCAAAACGAACCGTTAGGAGGTGGAACACCACTCTGCGGGGTGACCGGACGCTCCGGTCAGTTCACCCGCCACTGAGCCGTTTAAGTTGTGACCGGACTCTGACCAGCGTCCGGTCATCACTGACCGGACGCGTTCGGTCACAAAAACTGCTGTCTGGAACCTTACTGATAGTGACCGGACGCTGGGGCCCAGAGTCCGGTCACTTTGCTGTTCAGCGTCCGGTCAGTAGCCGGAACCTGACCAGCGTCCGGTCAGCACTGACCGGACGCGTCCGATCAGGATTCTCCCTCTCTGAAACCTTACTGGAGTTGACCGGACTCTGGCACCCAGCGTCCGGTTACTTTTCACTCAGTATCTGGTCGCATCCAGACGACTTCTGCTTGATCAAATGAACTGACCGGACTTTACTGCCAGCGTCCGGTCATACCGGAACCAACGTCCGGTCAACATTTGACCCTCCATTCACTTCCAACTCGAAATCATATGTGAATGAAGTTTTCTACAATTGATCTTAGGGCTACTTAGGAGTTACCTAGTGCTAGATTTGACAAGTGTGCACCACACCTAACCCACTAGACTCACATAGGTCAAGCTACTAGTCCATACCCCCTTTAATAGTACGGCCAAAGAAAAAACAAAGTCATAAACTACTATAAGTGTCTCTTCAATATCAAACGACACTTAAAACTAGTCCATCCTTAATCTTGTCGTCCATCCTTTAAAAACCGAAACGATTTCCATCGTAGGGGCATGACAACCATGATTGCCCAATCAATTGCCATTACTATGACCTAACTTAATTGCCTCTGCAAAACACACATTAGTCATAGTAATCGTGTATTGTCATTAATCATCGAAACCCAACTAGGGGTCTAGATGCTTTCATATACCGTTCATATCGCCGTTCTTAATGAATGCTTGATAGTTTTTTTCTCCAACGCATGGACATATTCGCTAGTTAGAGCATAAATGTTAATACTATTTATTATAAACTTGGTAGTTAAACTAGTTTGACCGGTATAAATTCAATAATTATATTCTCTCGTGGATGAACGGGGTAGTACTTACTAACTTTTAGTTTTCTACATTTATTCTAAATTAATTAGAATTCTCATTGCTATTCTCACTTACTAATACATATCTTTCTTTTTTCTCAATATATTTTTAGCTCTACTTTCCTTCCCATCTCGTGTATATTATATATATTGTACTCTTACTAAAACTAAAATGTCAAATATTAAGAGACTGAGCGAGAAGTAGACTATTTATAGGATCGTACTTTGGCCCCTAGCACTCCGGCTTTTTTCTAAAAGGGCTCCAGTTAAGCCTCATAATGTGAAGCAACTTATCTGGTAGGGCCGAAGCAGTTTGGAAAACACTTGACAAAAAAAAAACTTTAGTGGACATTTTATAATATCTGTATTAGATTTGTGAGGAGAAGCCCGAAGAAGCTATGTTTATTTTTTTTTGCTCCGACTCCGTAGTACAAAAACAAAAGGCTCTAATTCTTTATGCTTTTCAAGGAGCCGTACTGAAATGGTTGTTTAGGAGGGCTCCTTATAAACCTGGTAAAGAGTCACCCGAAGTCAGAGCTGGAGCCCTGCCCTTCCAGTTTATAAGACATTTAACACACGTTAAAAGTCAATTTAATATTTAGCTAATAATTTAGTCAATAAGAATTTATTTTTTAAATACATATAAAATTATTAGATTTTATAATTAAATGTACTACTAAGTAATTATAAATTATAATTATAAATAATATAATATAATATAATATAATATAATATAATATAATATAATATAATATAAATGATTAGAGTGTAATTTAAAAGATCGTGTTGTGTTAGACTACGTCTCTGAACCAATGGAAGTAAATGCTAGTACTGCAGTTCGTCGCTCCTTTTCAGAATCAAATGTAGTGGCAGTACCGTCGCCAGGTTCAGTGAAATCCGTGGTCTTTTTTGTATTTGAAAAGACGGAACGAGTTGGAACTTGGAAGGGAGGACAACGAGGGTAGCTGAGTTTAACCTATGGGCCTTGTTCGGCACGATTTATCGCTGCTGCGGCTGATTTGTATAGCTAATTTATTATGAGAGAAAAATATTATTTTTATGATTGAAAAGTAGGGCTGATTCTGAGCATGCTCGGATTTGGTAGTGCTCCCGTTATATACTGAGAAAATACTCAGCTCCACACAGTTACGCGGCTTGCCAGTAAACAGTACTGGGCTTGACTGCAAATATGAATGCTTGACTGCAGTTGCACGTCAGCAAGTCCACCAAACCTGACGCTAGGCCTGGGCCAAGCCAGGCCAGGTTCATGAAAGCCTCTTTAAATGAGAGTCTATGCAGCGATTCGATGCAGGTATTGGGCCTTTTTAGCCCACAATAGCCCGTGGTGAGTAGTGACTACTTGCAGCGATTCGATGCACCGGAAAAGAGACTGCACTGCACTACTGCAGTCTGCACTCTGCAGTCCTCATCAATCTCATCTTACGCAACTGCAACAACAATTGAATTAGTATTTGCGTTCTGTTTTTGTTTTTCTCTTCACAGCAATCAATTAAGGTCATGGTGTGTCAACAATGAGTTCCTGGACTGGACCCCGTGCTAGTGCTACAAGCGGAGCCACTCGAAGCCGTCGATGAAGTCGAGCGAGATGAAGGGCTTGGCCTCCTCGTCGGTGAGCTCCCGCGACCACTGCACCCTGCCGGCGTAGTTCGCACCGGGCCCCGTGCACTTGTACTGCCCGTAGAACACCGTCCTGCACGCACGCACGCGAATCAACCGGCGTCAGCGGGCACGCACGGCGGCCGGAAAAAGGAGGAGGCGGAGGAGGAGCAGTGACGTACATCTCCCGTGTGGGGTCGCCCCAGTTGTACCAGCCGCGCGGGATGATGATGTTGTCCATGTAGGTGTAGGCGAAGACGACGCGGGAGAAGGTGCCCCAGGCGCGGCCCAGGTAGAGAGCGCCGGACCCCGTCACCCGGCAGTTCACGAACGAGAACCCCGTGTCATCCAGCAGGCTCTGCCGGTTCTGCGCCGTCAGCGCGCCGTAGTTCCGCGCGATCGCGTGCACATGGCACCCCTGCATTTTTTTTTTTGCATCATCCATTTTATTATTCCTTTCATTTCCATACATACGTAGGTGCGTGTGCGTGTACGCTCCTTCTGCGATGTTTCACGTTATACAGCCACGCTGCCACGGCCCACGGGAGCACAAGAAAGTGGTACTGTGTAAAGGCAAAGCAGCCAGGCAGGCACGAGGAGACGACGACGAGCTAGGCGTCACGGGCGGTCGGGCTCCATCGGCACCCCGCCCACCTGGGGCCAGGGAACCTGCAGGTCTCAGAAAACCGCATTCCGCAACCGACAAGTGGGCGCGAGCGCGAGCGCGACATGAAAGGTTCACCTCACTGGCTCACTCTACTGTACCCCATTAAAAACTGAGAGGGGGTAAATTCAGGGACTAAACGTTTAGGGAAGTCACGTTAAGCGTCGTATCGGGATGTTACATGAGAGTGTTCTGGTAGTAATAATAAAATTAATTATAGAAGTCCTCAGTAATCCACGAGACGAATTTATTAAGACTAATTAATCTGACATTAGAAAATATTTACTGTAGCACCACATTGTCAAATCATGTACTAATTAGACTTAAAAAATCGCCTAGCAAATTAGTCGTAATATATGCAATTAGTTATTTTTTAATCTATATTTAATACTCTATATAAATGTCCAAACATCCGATGTGATAAGAAGTAAACTTTAAAAAGAGAAACTAAACGAGGCCTTAATGTGCATCAGCATTCCATTTGCACCTGCTCTTCGGTGACTCCTTGGCAGTAACCGTGGTAGGAGCATATGAGTACACAGCTACACACTACCATAGGCTGTTGGCTGTACTCCTGGCAAAATGTGCTCGAACTATATATGCATCCCCTTGTCCATGGCCGGATCTGGACGTGTTGCAGTTGTAGGTAGAGTGTAGGCCAGTCTATAAATGTCCATGCAGCCCGAGATACGGCGGTCCGACACGAAACACGTAATTTTGGTCCGAACCAAGCACAGCACGGCCTGATGGTCAGTGGACCCGGGCTGGCCCGGCCCAAGGGAGCAGGCCGTGCCTGGGCCGCTGCTCAGGCCCGTGGGCTGGCACGGAACGGTCCGACCTTCGACGGTCGGCCCGGCCTCCCCCCTCCCCCTCCTCACTCCTCCTCCCCTCCCCAAGGCCAGCCCACTTCCTTAGCTGCCCAGGCACCGCCTGCCCTTCCCTTAATGGCCGCCCCACCCACCCCCGATCCCTAACTCCTTCCCATCCCCGTCCGCATCCCTTCAGCAGCTCCCAGGCAGCGGCCAGCCTCCTCCGCATCCCTCCCGCAGGAGGAGCGACGCAGCCCTCTCCCCTCCGGCATCATCACTCGCAGCGTCAGAGGTCAGAAGCCCCTCCGCATCCTCGCAGACGGTCTGATGACGCCATTGCTGGTCTGCGTCTTGGGATGCCCCCTCCCTCCCTCGGCCCCTCGACACGGGCGCTGATGCCTGCTTCGCGGACACACCCTCCCCGCCTCCGCTCCGGCAGAGCAAGGACAGTGGGGTTCCATGGTCTGCAGAGAGACCTAGCAAGGCGTTTCGGGCGGAGATCCGAGTGGCGCCTCTAACTCCTTCCTCCCACCTCTGCGCCATATGACGCCCCCGCCTCTCTCGCCGGTGTCAAGGGCCCCAGGGCAAGGTCACCCGCCACCCACTTGATCTCCGGTGCTCGTGGCTCTGGCTTCATCGTGGCTTCAGCGTGGGCAAAGACGCCGGCCTGTTGGGTTGCGTGCTTCTGCCGTAGGCCCGCCCGAGCAACGACTAAAGTGCCGTGCTCGCCCGTAGGTCAGGCACGATGCCCGCCTCAGCACAGCCCGGTAGGCACGACGTGCCGTGCCGGCCCGAACCCCATCGGGTCGTGCCTGGCACAGGGCCGGGCCGGCCCGGCCCGTTGGACTTCTATAGGCCAGTCACAAGATGAGGCCAAACTATGACAGAGCACGAGAGGATGTGATTCAGTGAACAACAGCGGCAGAGCGATCTGTGGCGCTGGGTGCGTGGACATGCCGCCGCGGAGCTTGCGGAATGGCATGTTGTCCCAGAATGGGTGCTGGGAGGACAGCACCACAGATTCACAGTCCCCTGCCTAGGAACGAGGAACTCCCGGGTTTAACAGTGACTGTGTCTGTGACTCTGTGTCCTACAAGTGCCCTATAGCAGTGCGATACTGCAATGACGGCCTCTGCGACTGCTGGGATACGGATATCGATGCTGCCACATAGGCCAACGAGATGCTCAGTGCGGAAGCTGTGCCTACCGGCATGCCTTTGGTTCATTCAGATGGAGCTGCATTGTGTAGCGGAAGGAACGTGCAGATCGAGTCCATGTTCATTGGACAGTTTTGTGCATGAACTGCGTACTGACTGACCTCGTAGAGGGAGAGCGCGTTGCCGAAGATGAAGTCGACGGAGCCCTCGATGTAGCAGTCGCGGTAGTAGTGGCGGCCGAGGTGGTCGTACAGCGTGTCCTGCGCGCCAAGGAAGTTGCACCCCACGAACGCGGCGTTGTCCGCCGATATCCGCAGCGCCACCCCCTGCTTGCCCAGCGCGCCGGGCCTCGGCACGGGGGCCGTGTTCTGGGCACCGCGCGGAAATATATGGCAATGTCAGGCTCGTAGCAAAGCATCAGAGAAGAGTGATGCATTTTTCCACAGGGAGGAAGGAGGAGGTAGCTGCTGCTGCGTCGAGGAAGGAGGAACCTTGAAGGTGATGTTCTTGGCGACGAAGAACATGGAGTTGACAGCGAACGTGGCGGAGCCGAACGTGCCCATGGGCCTGCCCCAGGACCCGGCCGTGTCCGCGGTGTCGCCCCACTGCACCACGGTCTTGTCGGCGCCGGCGCCCTCCACGGTGACGAACGCGCGCATCGGCGAGATGTTCACCTTCTCCCTGCCGCGGCACGGTTACATTACAGAGGTCCGCTAGCTCTTCTTAGGCTCTCGCTACTACGATAAAGTAAACCATCTTCGAGGCAGGAGGCAGCTGGGCAAGCAAGCAAGAAGGGGCGGGCGCGCAATGCAGAGATGCAATGTACGTACGTGTACGTGCCGGCATTGACCCTGATGACGACGCGGGCGAGGTTGATGAGCGGGAGCGAGTCGACGGCGGCCTGGATGGACGTGAAGTTCCCGGCGGCGGGGTTCTTGTCGACGACGAGCGTGCGCGTGGGCAGGAGCGCGCGGTTCAGCGCCCGGTTGTAGGTGCTGTGGCCGAGGCCGCCCATGAAGCGCACCCACTGCGTGAACTGCCTCTCGATCGCCTCCACCCGCGTCGCGTTCACCGGGTACGGGAACGGCTTCGCGGCCGCCGCGCCGCTCTTCCCGGGCCGCAGCCACCTCGTGTGCGTGTGCGTGCCGTGCCGCCGCTGCCCGTGCCCCGCGGCGACGACGGCGGCTACCTCCCCGCCGCACACGAGCAGCGCCACGGCGACGACGAAGCAGAGGAGGAGCCGCGCCCACGACGGCACGGCCATGGTCTGGTCGTCGCGCGGTGGCGGTGGCCCGTGACCTGTGACCTGTGGCTGTGGTCACCGCGGAGCTAGTTGCCTCTGCCTGCAATAACTAGCAAGCGGCCCGGGTTTCGAATTTTTTATTTTTTTAGCTTTTTTAAAAATAAAATTCACAAATATGTCATCGGAGGTATGATTTCAAAATCTGGACCCTTATCTCGACGCCATCGTTGGTGGCGCCGAGTTTACACATCTCGGCGCCATAGATTCTGGCGCCTAGGTCGGGGCCACATTGGCGGTGTGGACGCTGACATGGCAGCCAGCTCGACGCCGTAGATCTTGGCTCCGTGATTATTGGCGTCAAGCCCTGTTTTACGTATGGGCCCTCCCTTTCTTTCTCTCTTCATCACTCTCTCGTCGCCGCCCCGAGCCATCATTGCCGCTTCACCACCGCAAGAAGACGCGTTGCGTGTCGGCCCTTCGCCCTCCCGCACGGGCCATCGCGCCCGAGCCACGCCATGTCACGCCCGGTGGCTAGCCGCTTCGCGCCGCCCGCGCCGCGTGAGCGCCGGCCGCGCCGCCGCCGCCACCGCGCCGCCGACCGGCCCTAAGCGCCCGCCGCGCCACCACCGGTTCGGCTCGTCGCCCTTACCCACGCTCGACGTCCACTGCGACTCCGTCCTAGGGCCATCGATCCCGGCGTCCGCTACGACTTTGTCGACGTCCACGACCCCGTCCACATTCCTGCCGCCGGCCGTCCTAGGGCCAAGGGCGGTGGCCTTTGGCAAGGGCCGAGGGGAGGGGGTGCTGTCCGCCTAGAAGGACGCAGCAGCCGCCATGCCCGAACAGTTCGAATAGGGCTGTTTGCCTATAGCGTCGCCTGCTCAAGCTCTTGAACTCGTCGAACAGGTAAAAAATGTGAATATGCAATGTAGGTACTTAGTTAGTTTTGATTATAGTGTAGTAGTTCGATTATTTGTTATGTACTAGTTAATATGATGACTTAGGTAGTTGATTTAGTTAGTGATCTAATGAGATAGATATGTAGATAGATAGAAACATAGATATATAGGTACATAGATATAGTTAGATAGCTACTTAGATAGGTAATTATATATTTAGTTAACTAGATAGGATCTAGCTATTTAGTGAATACACTGTATATATATATATATAGTTATTATCTTATTTACTTAGTTTATAGTTAGAAAATACTTGTTAGGTACTATCTATCGTCTATTTTGGACTAAAGGACATATGTTTCGTTATGTGTTTGAACTAGATGGACAACCTAGTGACCATATATCATGGAGGCACCATTGAAAACGATCGCTATGGATATGTTAAGTTGGTTGACATGCAAAGCATGCCTGTGCTATTCAATGATAGGCCTTCATTTAGTGAGATAGTTGCAAGGGCTCGTAAGGAGCTACATTGTCTTGGAGATAATGATGATGGCATTGTAGTTGAGGGTGTATTGCACCTATGTTCTCCTCCCAACATCCTCAGGCGAATAATCCTAATTGGGTGTGCGGATCAGTGGGAGAACTATGTGAGATCGGCTATGAAGAGACAGTTGCAATGTTTGGACATGGTTGTGCATCGGGTGTTAGTTGATCCCATCCCTCATGGGTTTTCCCCACCAATAGGTCAGCAAGCACACTTCGACCCTCTCGTCTCGAAACCTGATATGGATGTGGAGGTTGCACCTACGGTTCCCGATGCTCAATCTGCCCTTAATGAGCTAGTTGGAGATGTTTGTCAGTCATGATGTTGTGGCAGATCCTCCTCATGAGATCCCTTTGATACAGAATCATCCGAGTAAGTGTCTTATCCTCATGGTTATTGGGAGCTTACCCCCTTCCTTACATCTTTTTTTTATTCTTTCCTTATTTCTCTACTTATGTTGCAGGAAACATTCCTAACAATGTGGATGTGCCCCCTGTTGCTGTGCAAGTGCACTGTGGAGATGGATTCTGTGGCTCCAATAGTGTTGAAATTATGAATGATTCGGAGCCATATGAGATGGCAAGGGCTCTTGATTCTGATGATGATCGCCCTGTGGGAGACCTGACAGAGAGTGATGTTGAGATGCTGAGGCGTATCTTTCCCGGCCGCCGTGATCCAAGAGTTCACAAGTTCAGCGATCTTGCTCATTCCGATCAAGCGTGTGCAGAAGGATGTGATGATGAGCTCCTAGAAGCTCCTGAGGCCAGCCCTAACATGGTAATTGAGAAGGGTAGGGTATTCAATGACCTCTCTACATTGAAGAGGTGGTTGCAGGCATTTGCAGTGATACAAAAGAGACCTTACAAGGTCTTGCATTCATATGCGGAGCGTCGTTACACAGTTATGTGTGACAAGGAACACTGTCTATGGAGGGTTTGTGCAAGGAAGCAAAAGGTCACCAAAAAATGGAAGATCACAAAAGTTGTCGGGCCACACAATTGTGCTGACCATGTGCTCACACTGAAGCATCGGTAGTTGACATCTACCCTCATTGCCAAGCGATTGATGGGAATATTGCAGGGAGAACCTAACATGAAGGTTAGGACAATTATCGGGACCATTGAGGCATTGTATAGAGGTTATGTGATAACTTATGGTAAAGCTTAGTGGGCTAAGCAGCGAGAATGGAAGATAATATATGGGGACTGGGAGGATGGGTATGAGCAGCTGCCAGTACTTTTCAATACAATCAAAGCGATGAATCCTGGCTGCACTATGAGTACATCCCAAAACCAAATACATAGAAGGATGGGAGGTAGATATTCTTCCATGCTTTATGGTGCTTCCCTTAGTGTGTCGAGGGCTTTAGGCACTGTCGTCCCGTCTTCTCCATTGATGGTACGTTCTTGATTGGCAATTACCAGAGCACACTTCTTATAGCTATATCCTGTGATACAAACAATAAGTTGGTTTATTTGGCATTTGCTTTGGTTGAGAAGGAGAATAATGACAGTTGGAGATGGTTCTTGAGGCTAGTACGAATACATGTGGTTGGGCCTAGCAGGGAGGTTGACGTCATATCTGATAGGCGCCAGGGCATACTTAATGCCATGCGAGAACAGATAGAGGGGTATGTACCTTTGCACCATCGTTGGTGTACTCGGCACCTTGCCGAGAATCTACTCCGGAAGGATGGTGTGAAGGATAACTTTGATCTATTTCAGGAGGCTGCTCGACAGCTTGAGGACAAGTACTTTTAGAAAAAGTTGGAGCAGGTCAGAACTGCATCAAATGTAAAAGGTAGACAATGGCTCAAAGGTTTGATGAGGGATTTGGAGAAATAGACAAGAGCTCACGATGACGGTAGATGGAGGTACGAGTTTTAGTGTAGCAACATGATAGAGTCATTCAATAAGTTGCTATTGGGGATACGTGATATGCCCGTGAATGCAATCGTTCAATTCACCTTCTACAAGCTTGTTGCCTGGTTCAATGATAGACACACCCATGCATTGAAGTTGCGGAGTGATGGAGAGATATGGGCTCCAAAACCAAAGGCGCACCTAGAGAAGGCAAATGAAAGGGTTGGCACACATGAGGTTACATGTTTTGACCATGCCACAGGGACTTATCAGGTTGAGCATAGGGGCGGTACAACATTCGACGGCGAGGTCCGAGAGTCGAGGATGCATGTGGTAATCCTCTAAGATTTCACATGCACTTGTGGTAAACCAAGGCAGTACCACTTTCTATGTTTTCATTTGGTAGCAGCAGCTAGGCATCACAACTTTAATATCAAGAGCAGGATACCTCACGAGTTCAGTGTTGACACGCTTGTGCACACATGGAGCCCCCTCTTCGTGCCTTTCCGAGACCCTGGAGAGTGGCCTACATATGATGGGCCAAAGTACATTGCGGATCCAGCTTACCATTGAAACAAGCGTGGATCAAAGAAGAGGACGAGGCACATGATGGTTATGGATCAGATACCTGAAAGAACGAGGCGTGGGAGAGGAACCCCATTTCTTACTGACCGGAGCAGTACGAGTGCGGCAAGTGCGGTAGACTAGGCCACAATTCACGCACTTTCCATTGCAAGATTAGTGAGGTGCGACTATTGGTTGTTTTTATTATTTCATATTTGTCATATTCATTCACTTTTTTATGCATATCTCAATTTATGCTTGTAATTATGTCAATTACTTGTATATTTCTAAGTTTATGTTTCATTGTATATTGAATTTCTATTTCATTGACTTTTTTATAGGATGGTGCAATTCCACCTGCTGGACTCGGCGTACGAGGAGACCCACCGAGGACATCTCATAGCGGAGGGGCAGATAATAATCTATACGTCTTGTTCAAATTTTTGTGAGTGTACATGTGTTCGTGAAGTAATAGGAGACTATGTTTTATTCATTGCAGGACCTTATGCTCCTTCGTCCTAGAACCCACAATGGGTTCTTGGACATGTAGTACGACAATAGGTACGCTCCTTTCCTACAAAGAGCTGGCCTAGATGTCATCTCTTTTCAGGTTCGTCGTGGGTTGCCCAAGTTCAACTCAGCGGGCATAACTGCGTTGGTTGACAGGTATTATCTTCAATCATTGCCTCCGTTCATGGCCATTTGTTCATGCGCTTATCTTTTTGACATGTAATCTTGCTTTGTCTAAAATGTAAGTGGCGGCCAGAGACTCACAACTTTCACTTGCCTTTCAGAGAGATGACAGTCACGCTCTAGGATTGTTAGAAGATGCTAGGTCTGAGGATTCATGGCAACGTAGTGACTGGGCAGTGCAGGTCAGAAGGTTGGAGAGCATGAGTAGAGGCCTTCCTTGGGTGTGAGGTTGGCGAGCAAGGGGCCCACACTTCTGGAGTTCTAATCTCCTGGCTCGGGCAAGAGTTCGCACAGTGCCCCGAGGTGGCAGATGAGGAGACAGTTGGGTACTACTACAGGGCGTGGATCCTACACCTGTTTGCCTGTGTTCTCTTCCCCGACGCCACGGATGACAATGTGTCGTGGATGTGGGTCCACTGCCTCACTGAGTGGGACTAGGCGGGTCAATACAACTGG